AATCCCACCTTTTTCAATAGAAAGGAGGTGATTTTTAAAAAGTCAGGAACATGAATAATTCATAGAAGAATTACTCACATTGGCCAGGGCCTGGAAACAACCCACATGTTCATCATTAACAGATATGGAGAAAAAAATGTTTATTTATAGACCTACAATGGATTATTATTCCATCTGAAAAAAGGAATAAATATCTAATAATACATTGTACAACATGGACAAACCATAGAAACACGCAAGGTGAAACAAGCCAGACATAAAAGATATATATGATTCTTTTTACATACAGTACTTATAGGCAAATTCATGGAAATGGAAAGTAGAATAAAGGTTACCAGAGCCTGTGGTATAAGAAAATACTGCTTAAATGGATACAGAGTTTTTGTGTGGGATAATGAATAAGTTTTGGAAGTAATAAGTATTTCAGCCACTAAAGCAATCACCACTATAAATAAATATTGATAAAAAAATAAGAAAAACATTCTTACTGTAATGTAACAAGACAGTAAGTTCATGATGTCACAAGCATTTTCTTCACACTGAAGAGGTTCATAGAGGTAAAGCATTGCTAGTTCAATGAATATATTAAAAGGTCAACAGAAACTTTTTGAGTCATGATACAACACTTCCTAGTCTCATTAGATATGATTTATTCCATAAGGGTTTTGGTGACAGTGTAAGGACTCTCAATGATCTTTGGGATCCCTCTTGAGTTGAGACTGTACTGGGCATACAGATTTTTCATTTAACATTCTCTCATAAAACAATTTTACACTACAATAACAAAGTCTCCAAAAATACAAATTTTAATGGTAGAAAATATTCTAAAATACATAGTATGTTTATCTTTTTTATTGTGATGAAATATACATAAAAGTTACCATATTTAACAATTTACCACATTAACTATATTAATTTAACATGTTAACAATTACCATAAATATTACCATATTAACCATTTGGGGGTGTACACCTTAGTGGAATTAAGCAAATTCAATGTTGTGCAACCACCATTAATATCCGCTTCCAGAACTTAATCACTATCCCAAACAGAAATTCTGTACTCATTTAAACAATAACTTCCCTTATACCTCAGTCCCTGGTAACTTCTATTCTACTTTCCATTTCTAAGAATTTGCCTATAGGTACTGCATGTAAATGTCTTTTATGTCTGGCTTATTTCACCTTGCATGTTTCTAAGGTTCAACTGAGTTAGACAATGTATTAGCGGTTCACTCTTTTTAGACAGTATAATAATCCACTGTATATCTATAAATAAAATAAACATTTTATTTTTCCATTATCTGTTAATGATGGACATTTGGGTTGTTTTCAGCATCTGGTCAATGTGAATAATTCTGCTATGAACATTACATACAAGTACTTGTTTCCATCCCTGCTTTTAGATCTTTTGGGTATAAATCTGAAAGCTGATTTACTGAATCATTAGGTAATTCTATGTTTAACTTTCTGAAAAACCACTAAACTGTTTTTCACTGTGTCTGTACCATTCTACAATCCCACCAGCAAGGCACAAGCATTGCAAATTCTCTACATTTTCTACAACACTTGTTTTTTTAATCTTTTTAAGGATAAAAGCTATCCCAATGGGTATCAAGTAGTATCTCATATTGGTTTTGTTTTGCAACCCCAAACAATTAGTGATAATGAGCATCTTTTCATTTGCTAAATTACATGAAAAGACCAGGAATGTGGTTAAGAGGGGATTTTAGGAAGTCAATTTATCCTTTGACTGAAGCAACAACAACAAAAAAAATAGGAAGCCAAAGAGAATACTTGAAACAATGGTTTTCAAGACAAAGGACATCAGGCAAGAACACTAATCCCTGGCAAGTCATGTCCTGAGACAGAGGATTGAGCTCTACAGTTGTTCAGTAAAAAGTTTACTTTAATTCTTGAATTTCCAAACCACACAACAGGAAGAGGGAACTAAAGTAGGGCCCAGTGAGATAAAAGTAGCTAGAATTCATAAAACAGAGTACCAGAAAATTCAGAGCTGCAGAGAAAACCCTAACAATTCCCCCTCAAGTATTCAGCAGAGTACTGATTAGCATATGATCTCTTAAACTATGGAAAGAACTACTGGGAAACAGTAGAAAATTAGAAAACATTGACACAAATCAGAATACAATAGCTTTTCCTACAAGCCAGTTTGAAAAAAACAGAAATTTAGAGCTATTGTGAAGCACATTCAGGAAGATCTTGCTTCAGTAGAGGGACAAAACACTGAGCACTCTCCTAGACACTCCTAGACTTACTAAGTCTAGGAAATCACAAAAGGATAAAATTATTTCCAACTAACTGTACCCCAGAACAAAACCTCAAAATATTTAAAGAAAGGTTTATCTCTCCAGCACCCAACAACATAAAATTCAAAATATCTGGTATCCAAAAATTTCCAGGCATGTAAAGAAGCAGAAAAAACATAACCTATAGTAAGAAGAAATACTAACAGAAAAAACACAAGTGATAGATTTATAGAAAAAGTCATTAAGAGAACTATTATGAATACAGTATATATGTTTAAAACATAGGAGAAAGTATGATCATTTCTTGACATGGACAATGTAAAACAACATATCATACTTTCTGAGATAAGAAATATAATGTCCAAGATGACAAATACACTGGATAGTATTAACAACAGATTAAACACTGCAGGTAAAAAATATATATTAAACTTGAAATATCGCAATAGAAACCACCATTCAAAACAAAAGAGTGGGAAAAAAATAAACACAGTATAAATGACCAATGACACATTAAGCAACCTAATTAATATATGTATAATTGGCATCCCATTAAAAAAAAGGAAAAGGAGAGTCTGAAAATAAAAATGTTGAACAAAGGCAAGTTTTCCAAATGTGATGAAAACTGTCAATCTGTATATCAAGAGTGTTACCATAGCAGAACTGTAATGGGTATCCTCAGAAAGGTCTGCTTGCAATGTTGGTCCTTGAATAATTTCTAGGAACTTAAATTTCAGGAGTGGTCCACCATTCTGCAAATGTTAGGACTGGCTCATGTGCCTAAATTGTGCAAGTATGGTTTATATTGAAAATCTGTTTTTATTCTTGAAGTCTGAAATTTCAGTACATGTTAGGCAAAGAATGCCTACATTAATAGTCCCCAATAAAAGCCCTAGGCACTGAGTCAATAATGAGCTCTCTTGGCAGACAACACTTTATGTAACAGGGTGGTCCCCAGGAAAGGGGGAGGTTCCCTGCCCCACCCAAGAGAGGGTGGAGCTGAGCAGGGAGAGGAGAAGCTGCAGAAGAGACTGAGGAAGGAAGCAGGATGAAGCCAGAAGGAGACCTGGAGGAGGCGCATGGAGCTTAGAGACACGTGAAGAAACTGCGCTTGTCTTTTGGTCGTGGACTGGGTGACACAGATGTGGGTGAGACCCGTGGGGAGGTGACAATGGCAGCTTTTATCTTGATGTTGATTTTGCTCTTTTCCTTCCGGGCTTGTCTGGTTGTTTCTGACCCTTTTCTGTGGGTCCCCACTGGAAGATGCTTTAGACTTGTGGCAGGCTTTGGGGTCTTGTTCTGGGCCGATCCCTAATGGATGGACTTTTACCCACAAGGGGACAGGTAACTTTGGATGCTTGATTTAGAAACTAGATTCTTTGCCTTTCCTGTATTGTTTCCTAATTGTATTAAAGTTCCTTCCCATTAAAGTCTCATATGTTTTGTGTTGATGCGGCGGATGGCAGAACCCATTTAGAATAGGCAGGTTTGCGGTGTTTGGGCTGCCCCTCTCCCTGTCCTATAACAGATTTGGCACCCAATGCTCCCTGTCCTACAACATTTACACATGTCAAAACTCATTGCTAGGACAATTAAGCTCATCCTGTGTGACACCAGTGTCAAAGGACTTAGAAGATTACTGATTTTGCTCTGTATCTTTTCATAGTAACAATTCATAGCCAGAAAGATGAATATATGCTAAGTTTTCAGTCTTCCTAGCAGATTACTAAACCTTGGGGTTAGCTTGGGGACCCCAGACAAAACACAGTTCCAAGAAGCTTGACAAACTCTAACCATATCTAGGTATACCACAATCAAGTTGCTTAAAATAAGTGATAAAGAGAAAATCCCAAAAGATCAAGAAGGAGAAAAACTTCAGTCTTCTTCACAACTTTGAGACTGAAAATCATGAAGTAATTTCTTCAAAATTCTGGAGGAAAATCATTTCCAAGCAAAAATTTCATATGAATTTTCAATCACATATCAAAGTATAATAAATGTAACTTCTGAAATGTCAAGTTCCAAAAAACTATCTCCCATATTCCTTTCTTGGAAACTCCTTGAAGATGTGCTAAATCAAAACAAGAGGGTAGACATGTAATGCAGGATAAAGAAGTTTCACACAAGAGGGAGATGAAGAGAATTTCCAGAAAGATGATAAAGGGAGACCTAAGAATAGCATCACCCACAAAGTAGAGAAGATGTGGAATTCAAACTGGAGAGGCTAGGTGGTTGGTTGTGGGAAAGAATTCTCTAAGAAAATGAAACAAAACAAAATGTCTAGTATGTCTAAAATCTTAACAAGGGCACTAATTTATGGTGAGAAATTAGAGTTTTATTAGTAATGAGTGAAAACAGACAAACAAGAACTCAGTATAACTCCAAGGCAAACAATGTTATGGAGGAAAAATAGTCATAATTAACATTTGCTTTGGTTATGAAAATTTCTTATTCAATTACTTAAGGCTGAATTCTAAACTAACCAAACCATGATAGATTTGTTAGGAGAGCAAAAGGATTGGAAAAATTCAATATATACAAGGAAGTGGAAAGTGGGTGAGGAGAAAAACTTATTCATGTTTAGAAATACATTAAAAGCATGTTATTTTTTAAAAAGGAGGTAAGAGTCAAAAGTGACTATCCCTGCTTAAGGACTTAGGAACAAATCATCAAAAGGTGATATAACAAATATCATAAACTAAAGGAAAACTTTTAACAATGCACTTTTACCTTATGAAGTTCGGACAGCTTCTCCTCACTTGCCAAAGACTGACTGCTTGCACAAGAAGCACAATCTGAAATTTCCACACTTTCACTGTCTGCAAATGTGTAACATTCACTAGCATCTTCTTTATCACTGTCAATCTCCCAGTCAATAAACTGCAGTTCATCTAAAAAAAGGACAACACAATTTTAATAATTATATATATATATATATATCTCCTTAATGTTTTAAAATCCATTTTTATTCACATGTAAATTCATGTGAATTATTTTTCAATACCTATTCAAAAATAAATTAAAAGAAAGAAAAAGTATATTTCTACTGTAATTGCTAGCAATCTCATTTTTTCCAACTCTCGCCTCTACATTAATAGTCAGGTAACTATTTTTTAACCAGTTATTTTTATGTCTTAGAGTTTTTCTAGCATGTTCAGGGAAATAAAATATACTGTACTTCTTGCCTTCTTTTTGATAGTTTTTTTAATTTTATTTTACTTATATGAGAGGTTTATCCACATAATTAAATAGGAAACATCCTCACTCTTTTTTGCAAATTAATATTCCACTGTATAGCTGGGCAAGATTTATTTAACCAGTCCCTTATTAATAAAAATTTTTTTTCAAAGATTTTCACCCATTTTTTATTTTTTTACGATTTATTTATTTATGCATACAAGTGCCAGGGTACAGGCCAGAAGTTGGGGGTGGGGGGAAGTTGAAAGGATTCACCAGAGACAGAGCTGGGAACAGAACAGGCAGACTGACTGAAATACACTGCTGAGGGGAGCAGAAGGCGAGTCAGGAGAGGTCTGCTGTGCCATGTGGGTTGCTCCCTGGCCGGCGGGTATTGAACTCATGCTGCAGAGGCTGTGGACAGCTTCATAGGTTGCATCTTAACCCCTTGAGCCACCAGGAGGCCCTGATTTTCAGCCATTTTTTAAATAGATTTCTTGCATCAGTGAGGAAACAGCTAAAGCAATTTAGGTTTTGATTTTTTGATAATCACTATTATCTAGATGCTGCTTTTACAAAATATTAACTTGAAAATTAAATTATTTTCATATATTGAATAACAAATACACTGACTCTAACTTGCTATGCCTAAAGAAATGAAAGTAATTATTAAAGATAAATTAAGCTCTGAGGTAATGGCATATAACAAACTTTTGCAACAGAACAAAAAGCATAAGACCTGCCTAATAGCACTTCAGCAATTTGGAGGTCTAGTAAGATATGCTGACCCTATTTTCTAAGTTTGATAGCAACAACCAGGTTCAGTTAGAAGCAATGCTAAAAATAAAATTTATAAGCTCTAATACCTGAAGGGAATTAAAATTTTAAAAATTTAGCTCAAGTTGAAACTATTGAATAAAGTAAGCAAACCAGTCTTTTTTAATCTAGCATTGTTGTTCCAGAGATGCGATAAGCAACCATAATAACGAATACAAAAAAACTGGAGGTTAGACCATGGGAAAGAGACAAACACACAATAGCATTTTCCTTGCCTGAAATTATATTTATTCATGGAAGTCAGGTAAGGGAGGGCATAAGACATTCTACAGGTTGCTGAACCATCAATGCAGGAAGTCATGGAAAGTAAGAAGCACAAGTGCCCTCAGAGTTTCTGCAACCACTACCAGTACTAGCCATTTCTGTAGCATTTATTTATTCACTACTCATTTATTCAATAAAATCAGTGCCTACTAAGGATCTAGATATACACAATACAAAAAAAAAATACAGGAGAAAATACAAAAACATTGTCCCTACTGTAGAAAACCCCACAGAAACATACTGCAATGGAATGAGATATGTAATACATAATATATGTTACATATAATGTATACACATATATATGCACCCACATACACTATATCACAACCAATATTAAGACCTTTCCATTTGGGCAAAGAAGAAATTTACTGTTTAAAATTTATACTTTACTGAGACGTCATCAACATGGCAGCGAGGAAACACTGAGAGTAAGACCTCCCATTAAAAAAAAAGTTAATAGGGAGGAAAAGCTGCAGGTCCCTGCGAGAATTGGGACACGGAAGATAAATGGGCCACTCTGGCAAATTGCCCAAAGAAGAAAGTTGCCATAAAGGAGGACTAGAAGGGAGGAAAGCTCAGAACCCTGCTACCCTCCCCCACCCACAAAGTTGGCACTCTCTGACCAACAGAAAGGAGGGGAAAAATAAACAAAACAAAAAGACCCAAAAGAGAACAAAGTACATCAAGTGGGAATGTGAGTGGAAAGGAACTATTTCAGCTACTGCACCCTGTGAACTGGAACTGTGGAGAACCGTGCAGGATTCGCCAAGGAGGTGAGCAAACCACTCCTGGCGCCATTGAAGAAAACTAAAGACTCCCAGGAGATCCACAAACAGCCCAAGGCTAGCCGGTAAGCTTGTGCAGAAAAGCAGCGTGCTTGAAAAGCATACAAGGATCAGGGCTGCCCAGGTCCCGGCGCGACCTAGGTTTGTAGGGAGACACACGGGGGGTCCTCATTGAGGTGAATGTCCCTCACTGAGTAATCAGAAACCAGGCGCCCAGACACAGGAGCAGGGTGCAAAAGGCACCATTTCTGCAGACACTAAGCTGGGCTACAGCCCGTATCCTGGACCTGAGGGCTTTGGGAACTGAGACCGGGGGCACGAAATTCGGGGTGTGGGATCCCCACAACGGTGGGGTACAAGGAAGACACAGCACCCCCAAGCCGTTGAGGCTCTCCACGCCACTCCCACTCTGTTCTCCCGGACCCACGGGCTTGAAAACAGTTCCCAAAGGACACTAGGAGAGATCTCTGGCGCCACCTAGCAACCAGAAAAAAAAATCACCAACACCCTATAGTTGGAAACCAGGGATCACAAAAACATCCTCTGGCGCTGAGAGAGGGTGGGCCACACAAATGGGGATAAGGAGGGAAATCAGGCGTGGAGCGAGACCCCATCCTGGAACTGACAGCTAGGCACAGGATCTGGGGCATGGGACTAGCCAAAGCAGCGGGCACTGCACAGAGTGACAGTCAGTGTTTTGGATCTGAAGAGGAAATGCAAATGGCCAACAGGCATATGAAAAAATGTTCAACATCACTTGTCATCAGGGAAATGCAAATCAAAACTACCATGAGATACCATCTTACACCAGTGAGAATGGCACATATTAAAAAAACTAGCAACAACAAATGTTGGCGAGGGTCTGGAGAAAAAGGAACTCTCCTGCACTTTTGGTGGGAGTGCAAACTGGTCCAACCACTGTGGAGAGGTGTGTGGAGATTTCTGGACCTACTAAACATAGAGCTTCCATATGATCCAGCAATTCCACTCCTAGGTATTTATCCAAAGGACACAGAAACATCAATTCCAAAGAGCACCTGCACCCCTATGTTTATAGCAGCACTGTTTACAATAGCTAAGCTTTGGAAACAACCCAAATGCCCAAAAATAGATGACTGGATCAAGAAGATGTGGTACATATATACCATGGAATATTACTCAGCATTCAAAAAAGATAAACACATGCAATTTGCAGCAACATGGATGGCGCTGGAAGGGATCATGCTCAGCGAAATAAGCCAAAAAGAAAAAGAAAAATACCGGATGGTCTCACTCATAGCAGGAATCTAGAAAACTTAAATAAGGGACCAGGAAAATGAATATAAGAAAGTGAAAATCAAAATCAACAAAAAACTATGAACCAGAGACACTTTTTGGGGGGTGGGGGGCGGGAGGGGAAGGATTGGGGTCAGAATGGGGCGTTTGCAATTGTATGGGGGAATATAAAAATAAAAAAAAATAAAAAAAAAAATATAACCTCCCCCAAAAAATTAAATACCTGGGAATAAACCTAATAGAGGAAATGTAGTACCTATAATACAATGAAAACTATAAGACATTATTAACAAAAAAAATCCAGAAAACACAAAGAAAAGATACTCCTTTTTCATGGATTGGAAGAATCAACATTGTTAAAATGACCACCCTACCAAAGGAAATTACAGATTCAATGCAATCCCAATAAAAATCCTAAGGGGAAACAATGGGCACCGGGAAAATGAGGTCCCTGTGCCTTGTCAGAAAGCAAGGACCCAGGCCTCCCCTGGTGGCGCAGCAGTTGAGCTCTGGGCTGCAAACCTACCTGCAGCCTCTGCAGTGCCGGTTCAATCCCCGGCTGCTCCCCGGCCACCAGAGGAGGGTCCCACATGGCGAGCAGACCTCTCCTGCCGCCCACTGCTCCCCTCAGCAGTGTGTTTCGTCAGTCTGCCTGTTCTATTCCCTGCTCTGGCTCTGGTGAATTCTCTCACCCTCCCACGATTCTGACTGTACCCAGTAATTGTATAAATAAACAAATAAATCTCTTAAAAAAAAAAAAAAGAAAGCAAGCAAGGACCCCACAATCTCCTTCTGGCACTGAAGAGAGGGAGGGCTCCACAAACAAAGGTGAGCAGGAAAGCATATGCAGAGCAAGGTTGCTGCAGGCCCTGCACCCTCTTTTTGGAACTGAGTAAAGCCAGGGAGGGCTCCACCATCAACGTGAACTGAGAGCACTGGCAAAGCGTGGCCCCTGCACCATTGTCAGAAAGTAAGGACCATACTGGTACTTCTGGAACTGAGAAAAGAGAGGGAGGGCTCCACAAACAAAGATGAGCAGGAATACATGTGCCAAGCAAAGCTGCTGCAGGCCCTGAACCCGTTTTGAAACTGAGTAGAAAAAGGGAGGGCTCTGCCATCAGGGTGAAGAAAGTGTGGCCCCTGTGCCATTGCCAGAAGCAAGGATCCCACAATCCCCTTCTGGAACTGAGAAGAGAGAGGGAGGGCTCCAAAAACAAAGGTAAGCAGGAAAAGGACACACTGATCAAGGCTATTGCAGGCCCCGCACCCTCATTTTGGAACTGAGTAGAGACAGAGAGGGGCCGCCAGAAATGGGAACTGTGCGCATAGAAAGTGTGGACCCTGTGCATTATTGGAAGGCAGAAACTCCACAACCCACTCTGGACTGAGAAGAAAGAGCGAGGGCTCTGCAAACAAAGGTAAGCAATAAAGCATTTGGGAGCAAGGCTGCTACAGGCTTGGCACCCCCATTTTGAAACTAAGTAGAGAGACAGGGCTCCTCCATCAAAGTGTATCAAAGTGCTGTGCGATCCCATTCTGGAGCTGAGTAGTGC